TCTCAAGAGTCGACTGATATATCTGCTACGATAGAGTCAACTAATGAAATCAGCAGCAGTGTACCATATTATCTAATCGAGTCGACTACTAATGTAGTGCGCCCAAATGAATGGAGAAACGAACCTGAATATCCTAAAAAATTCATCATAGGGGATCCAAATGAAGGAATGAAAACTAGAGGAGCTCTCAAAAAGAAAGAAAATGTTGCATTAATATCTCAAGTTGAACCAAAGAAGATAGAGGAAGCTCTAAAAGATTCAAGTTAAATTCAAGCAATGAAGGAAGAGTTAGATTAGTTCGATAAAAATCAGGTGCGAAATCTGATACCCAAACCTGAAAATGTTTCTATAATCGGAACAAAGTGGGTCTTCAGAATCAAATTGAACGAGGATGGAAAGGTCGTAAGGAATAAAGTTAGACTAGTTGCTCAGGGATGCTCACAACGGGAAGGAGTCGATTATGACGAAACCTTAGCTCCAGTAGCTTGCTTGGAATCCATATGAATTTTTCTGGCCTACGCATCATTTAAAGGATTTAGGTTGTTTCAGATGGATGTAAAAAGTGCCTTTTTGAACGAATTTCTTGAGAAAGAAGTATACGTGAAACAACCGCCTGGGCTTGTAGATTCAAAGTTTCCCTACCATGTATACAAGCTCACTAAGGCACTATATGGACTAAAGCAAGCTCCACGTGTTTGGTATGATAGACTTAGTTCTTTTCTTGTTGATCATGGCTTCACAAGAGGTAAAGTAGACACTACCCTGTTTATTAAAAGATCATCAGTAGGTAATCTCATTATTCAGATTTATGCTGATGATATTATATTTGGTAGTGCTAACCCTCTTATGTGCAAGGAATTTTCAAATCTTAAGCAAAGCGAATTCGAAATGAGCATGATGGGAGAGCTAACATTCTTCCTTGGACTCCAAATTCAACAATCTGAAGAAGGAACCTTTATATGTCAGACCAAATACACAAAGGAACTGATTCAAAAATTTGGCATGAGCAATGCAAAATCCATTAGCAAACCAATGAGTCCTTCAACAAATCTAGACAAAGATGAACAGGGAATCCCTGTTGATGAAACTAAATATCATGAAATGATTAGATCATTACTATATCTAACAGCAAGTCGACCGGATATTATGTTTAGTGTGTGTAAATGTGCCACATTTCAGTCAGCTCCTAAGGAATCTCATCTGACTGCAGTGAAGAGAATCATTCGATATCTCATTGGGACTGTATCTCATGGACTATGGTATCCTCGCTCTAACTCTTTTAAATTAGAAGATTTTTCAGATGCTGACTTTGTAGGTGATAAGGAAGATAGAAAAAGAACAAGTGGTACATGACAATTACTTGGAAAGGCATTGATATCCTGGAATAGTAAAAAACAAGCATCAATTGCATTATCTACTACTGAAGCTGAATACATTGCCATTGGACAATGTTGCGCACAATTATTGTGGATGTCCCATCAACTGGGTGACTATGAACTTTCTTTTAAACCTATACAATTTTTTGTGATAATTCAAGTGCTATTTGTCTTTCAAAAAATCATGTGCATCATTCTAGAGCAAAGCATATAGATATCAAGCATCACTTTATTAGAGATCATGTTCTTAAGAGAGATATAGAAATATCTTTTGTTGGAACTACTGATCAGTTAGCAGATATTTTTACTAAGCCATTATTAGAGGATAGATTTTGTGCTTTAAGAAAATTACTTGCCATTACTTGCTTAACTAATAACCTATAGGACCTATGTGTACTGCAGATACTTCAGGTGTAATGATTGTCCTTTACTCATGCATTAATTACGCCTCCGTTTTTCTCTCTCTTTTTTTCTTCTTTCACATCAGTTCATCGTTCAAAGTTGGAAAGCCAATTATTGCGTCCCTTCAATTGACGCCTTTTCCTTTTCTATACTCAACCGTCAGAAGTTTCTCTTCTTAAGTCGGAGAACCCCTTTCAGTCACTTTCATCTCTATCATCTAGAAAACCCTTCTCCAAAGCTCCGATCAAACTACTTTCCTTCAATAGCCAAACAACCCAGAAATCCCTCTGCTTCTGCCAGAAAAAGTACCCACTCTAAAGCAAAACCCCCTTCTATGCCCTAGAACAAGTAGACCTAGGGTCCGACCACTCTGAGGGTTTTGCCTCTTCACAGGGAGATTTCTCTGATCACTCTCAAAACTTAAGAGAAAAAGCCTTAGGAAAACGACCCATGGAAGACCCCCTTCCCCTATTTCCTCTACCTCCAAAGAAATCCAAGATTGATCTTTCTGGCTCTCTAGAATCTGACCTAAATTTCTGGGATTTTCCAAATAGGGATTTCTTTGTTGCTTTGAAGGACAAGCCCATTGCTCATGGAAGGGTAGTCGACCTTGATGACATGGAAGCCCTCAATTGTAAGGTCAAAAACCTCTTTGTTCATCAAGGGTGGGCTAAGTTCCTCTCTATTCCTCCGCCTAAGGTCCATGAACCCCTAGTAAAGATGTTTTATGCTAATCTCCATTCTAGTAAACCTGACTGGTTGGAATCCTTAGTGTTAGGTAAGTGCATTGTTCTTGATTGTGCCCCTGTTTGATTCGCTCTTTCAGTGTCGATGTTCTGGTTTTCCTATGCTTTTCAAAAACACCTGGCCCGATGATTTTTAAATTTCTTTTGACCAAGCCAAACAGTGTATTACTGAGTGTCCCTCTGACTCCCTTCCCAACCAGTTAGGTCCTAGTGATGCTAGTTTCGAAACTCGAGTTCTGGCCCACATTGTAGCAACTACTCTGCTTCCCCGCACTGGTTCCTTTTCAACCTTCTCTCAAAGAGACACTTTCTTAGTATACTGCCTTATGACTAAACTCAAAATCAGGTTATCCTCCCGGGTCATTAATTTCATGATTGAAAGTGCTGAAAATCCCACCACTCTACCCTATGGCATGACTATCACTCACATTCTGGAAGCTCATCAAATTTCCTTGTCCAATTATCCCTTCATCACTATTTCAAAGTCTTAGAACTCTAGAGCCTTTGCAAGTATGGGATATGTGAGTGTGAAGGGCTCTTGGGTTAAGAAGCACGAAGGTGAAGCAAAGCATGCTCCTATAGAGCCCAAACCTAAACCCTCTGCCTCTCATCCCAGCCCTGGTGATCCTGACCTTGGTGAAAGCTTCGTTCCATTGACACTCAACTCTCTGAAATCAAAAATCTTTTCACATCCACTCAGACTACTGTTGGTGACATTCATTCCATCTCCAAGGAAATAGGGTCTGATGTGTCAAAGATTAGAGTTGATGTTCTCAGAGTTAGGGAGAATGCTGTCAAAGCTTTCAGGAAGATTCATGACAGGTTGGATGGAATGAGCATCTCAGCCAATGCTAGCTTTGAACAATTGAAGGAGGCCATCTGCAACACTCATACTTATTTTCTGCGTCGTTAATATGGTTGCTTAAGACAATTTTTTTTGCTGTGCTGTTTTTGGGCTGTTATCTCAGCCATTGGATAATTTCTATTTTTCTCTTGTTTTTTTGGGCTATAACTCTGCTGATTAATGCTATATATTCTGTTTAGTTCTTGGTTTGTTCCCTCTTTGCTAATACCAAAAAGGGGGAGAAGAGTATATGTTGTATCTGTACAGGTATAGTTGACTGTGTGGCAAAAGTAGCATCCTCTATGGCAGGAGTCGACTCCAACCAAAGACTAGTCAACTGCATGAATTGAGGGGGAGTACCATGAACCTATCAACTGCATACATTGAGGGGGAGTAAAACACATGGAAGTCAATTGGTGTTTAAACATATATATTATTTTGTCATCATCAAAAAGGGGGACATTGTTAGATCTAATTTTAACGATGCAAATAATATATCTGTGCAGGAAATCAATTACAGAAGAACAAGGAATCAAGGAGCTACTACAAGATTGTTGAAGTCAATCTGGATGCTTAAGGAAAGAAATCAATCAACAAAGATTACGAATTAGTCAGCAAATCTGGATGCTTAAGGAAAGAAATCAATCAACAAAGATTACGAATCAGTCAGCAAAGATTACGGACAGCTGCGATGGAAAGAATCAAGCAAGCCTAAACTTAAGGCATTAATCAAGGCCAGAACATTCAAATCCAGAAGATTGAAGCAGTCAAAAAGCATCAAAGATTCTGTGAGAAGAGTAGCTGAGTGGCTAATTTCGGAAGGACCAACAATCAAGGAGTAAACCCTCATCATTAACAACTGTAGAAGGAAAGCTATTAATTTCCTCTCATCAAGGAAGAGCAACGACAAGCAATCTTATTCTTGGAAAGAGTCAATCTCTTTCCAAGGATCAAATCTCTTGGGTTGTCAAGTCTCGTCAGCAAACGGTCTTCAACAAAATATTTATACTCAGCATCAAGCCTTAACAAATATACTTTGATCGAACCAAAAATCCTCTCTTTGTTCTGCTGCATACAAACATTGTAGTTCTCTAAGATCTGCTGTGTAACAAGTCAGAGAAAAAAAGGAGAGTACAACACTGGTGAGACATTGTATCAAAAGAGACGAGTGTTATAGGAACTGAGCTATCACGTCATTTCCATTGTACTCGGAGAAACGCATTTACTAAAGAGAACTCCCTTGCAACCCAAGGGGACTGAACTAGGATTCACATTGAATCCGAACCAGTATAAAATTCCGATGTCTTTAATTCCTGCACTTACTTTCTGTGTTTTATATTTTGCTATTATGACTGTTAGGTTATTGCATCTAGTCGACTAATTGACAAATCAGTCAACTAATAGAGATTAAGTTTAAAAATATACAATTCACCTCCCTCTTGTACTTTCAGCAAAGTGGCATGCCACGTGGTATCCAACTCACTCAAATATCAGGCCAAATGTATGGTGTTAGCTATGGTGGAGGGGATTAACGGTAGATGTACAATTTACATTGGGGGTATTGTTCATATTAATTTCATTTAAAATCATGTACTCTATTTATAATGTACAACAAATAATGGACAATCAGTGCTTAATTTCTCTGAAATTTCCTATTCTATCAACAATGACCGTCTTTAGTAAAAAGAATTAAGTACAAAACAATTGTACACAGTAACAACTGATTGTCCCTTTCCTCGTTGCTTTACTGCACTTTGCAATTTCTATATTCACTCTGTTCTTGAATTTCACTCCGATTCAAAACCTGGGACGACTCCATGGCGAATCAGCTCGTCCACCTTCTTGTCATCTCCAATCAAATTCTCAGAACAAAATTCAAATAGTAGGTCTGGACACATCCACTTGTGCTCAGCTTGAATTTAATACTATATATGTAATTGAGAAATTTTGAGAAAAAAAAAAGATGTCTATTTATACTAAAACTATACGTCTTGTCTTGTCGCAATCTGTTCACTCACTTAAAATGTTGATCTGTCTTTTGTACGAAGTGTCTTTACTTATCAAATACGCTAGCTAATGCAAAAGGGGTCTGGAATCAGCCCAAAAATCAAGGTTGCTTCGGATATCCATGTGACAATATCTTTGAAAATCTCCGAAGTTCATGAACCATGACATATTATTGTTAACGGAGTCGAATCGATTCAAGTAACGAAGTAACTCTTCAAACAAAGATTCATAACAACGAATGGCTAAAGGGCCAGAGTTCGTAAAACCAAACTCTTCCTCTGCCTGTGAAAGGAGTTTCTTGAACATTGGGTGGTTCAGGTAAGCGGCACGGACTACAAATCTCTTGCAACTTGCGCCTACTGTGACTGCTACGTGTCCCAAAGGTACGTCGGTCGGGACACGGCGACGGGCAGCCGTAGCGGCCTTCTTCCTCCACCCTCGTAGCATTTGGCGGAGCCTGACTATGTGGCGGATCTTGCTGCAGGATGACATTTTTCTTCAGAAAGCTCTTGTAGACTTTTAGACGTTTGGACTTTAATTTGAAAGTATTGGATGAGAAAGTAAGGTGTTTTGCTGAGTGGGGAAGGGAATGGTATATATAAGAGTTTGCGTAGGTACGTCGTACGTGACATTAGTTTTAAAAATATTCGTATGCCTGGCTGTTTCTACAGAGCATTACAGAGGAAATTAAAATTTTATCTACAGGGGTCGTTTGATTTGGGAAAGAAAATATTCCTTAATAATAATAATGATAGGATCTCAATGTTTCACTCAAAAGATATTAAAATCTTTTTGAGCAAATCAATCAAAAATGAAGGGGTAAACTCTTAGCTGAGGATAATAATCTCTAGAAAAATCGATAGACAAAGTGAAGATAGGTCCCGGGGCTTCTTTTCATTCATAAATAGTAATGTCTCAGAATGTTCAATGCCGGTTACAAGGTTATTGTCCTCCTTTTATACTAAGAGAGAAATTCTTCTAAACTGTAGGAGACAAAATACAAGGAATATTCCCAATGTCTCCTGATGGCCATACATTATTACAAGGGTCGTCCCGTCTCTGGTTTGTCTCAGGGTCGTCTCCCTCAAGGCATCAATTCGAGGAGATTCCATCATTCGTCATACTCATCGTCGGTCGTGGTTGGTCAAATTTGGCCTCATTCAGTTAGTCCCTTCGCTGGTCGGGGTCGCAACTGGGTGCGTCCTCGATGAGCGGACACCATGCATTCCTATGGAGAAATTTGAGCCGTTGTGACGTTACGAAATGGCCAATGAGGGAAGGTTGGCATGCTTGGCAAGACACCCAGTAATATACGTTATCGGGAAATGATGTCATCTTCACGTGCGTCATCATCATGCATGTTTTCGAGGCAAGGGTTGATGGCTTGATGCTTCGGTTTTAGCACTAATTTGTGGCTCTCCGCTTCGATTCTGGTGCCACCCAATCCTATAAATAGGGGAAGGGTTTATTTTTTCGAAAGTTTCTGGCCATTACACTCTTGATAACCTCCTTCATTCTTCCGAGCTAGCCCTCATACCCTTCTGCTTCTTCTTACGTTCTTCATTCGAAACTTCTTCCTCCTTTTTGTGTTGATATCCCTTTGAACGATATCATGCCAAGGTCTCGTCGTACTCATGAAGAGGTTCCTGAAGCCACCCCATTATCCACGACACCCCCTTCTGGCGGTGGAGATACGGTGGGGGAAGAGGGCGACAACCTTCCTGCGGTGGAGGAGCTACTGCCGAGGCATTCCTTATCTCGGAGTGACTTCCTCAAAGATCCCCCTCCTACTCCGTACCCTGTATTCTCCGAGACGGACCAAGTTCATATTGATGATATTCGTGTAAAGTACGACATTCCCGCTCATGTAGATATGGTTCCGGCGAGGAGAGATTACGTAGATGTCCACAGACCTGGGTACTGCGCTTTGTATGATTACCCTTTCATGATTGGCTATACTCTTCCTCTCTTCCCCTTAGCGGAAGAATTCTGTAGGTTCTACCAAGTTTGTCCGGCGTAGCTTTCGCCGTATACGCTCAAGATACTTCTATTGCTGACCAAGTATGCAGAGTTGGCGGAATGTAACGTTTCTATCCACCCCCTTTTGCACATATTCACGCCTGGCTTCCACAGGGGTACCATGGTGCATTTGAGGCTCTGTGGTACTAATGGGCTAATGGTCGGGACAGATGACCGGGCAAGTCGCAAGTTTTGGCATAAGTATTTCTTTGTCAAAACTGAACATGTCGTTTCTGACTCCGCCAGGTTCCCGGAACGATGGAATGAGACTCGTAAGTGTCGCCACTCATTTTGCTCTTCTTTCATCTGTATTCATTATAAAAAATTTTTGCTTCCCGTTTGCAACTATGGGACGTTCGCCTCGCCCTATTACGGATATCAGGGATTGGGTAGCCCGTTGTTGTCTCATGCAGCAGAGATTTGAGATTGGCCCACCTTCGTGAAGCGTTACGGCCCTAGAGTCTCTTCTAGTAAATATTTTTTTTACCACGTCGTTGGCCATATGACCTTGTTTTTTAATACGACCCTTCGTGATGACAGGTCGAGGAGCTTCCAGGCGGAGAGCGCCAGTCCCTGCATTTCGACAGGCCGTTGCTGCCACAGACGCGCAGTTTGTTTTGAGTGAGTCTGTTCGAGAGGGTCGTCCTTAACCTATTCAATTAGAAGGTCCCTCTTGAGTCGTGGTCGTGAGGGAGGAGGCTTCGTCGGTACTGGCTCCACATCCTTGGGACGAATCCTCTAATGGGGACGAGCTGTTATAGAGAAAAAAGAGGAGGCTGGAACTTAGGAAGGGCGTGGTCGTGGACACTGATAGAAGTAGGGCATCGTAGACGGCTCTCGCGCCCGTATTTATGGCTGACGCCATTTTATCGGGAAGATCTCCCCAAGTGGAAGGAGTTTACCCGGGAGCTGGCTCAGTGCGCTCTGCTGAGGGTGGTGCATCATCCGACGTCGGAGGACGTCATCTTGAGGGTGACGGCTCAGGTTCAGATGTCGACCCAAAGGATGTCAATGAGTTTGTATGTCGCCATACTCATGTGGAGGTCGGACTGGAAGGGTTTGATCGTCATATAGTCATCCCGGGGGATTACAACTTGTTGCTGAATTGCGAGCAAGTGGCATCTGCTCTAGCTCCTCTATGTGTTGCCCCTGAAAACGAGGTGCTTAGGGCGATGAGCGACGTGGAGTTGTCTCAGAAGGTCACCGGTATGGCCTTGCAGGTAGGTGCCTTTCCTTCCCTTTTCGTCGTTGGGTTTGTTTGGTGATCGACGTTCTGTATTTTGTTTCAAAATTCTCCCTTTTTTGTCAGACCCTCGTCATGGAGATTGAGCGAGAGCGTAAGGAGAGGAGAAGGACGGGCCTTTATGAGAAAATGTCATCCAAATATCAACAGTATCGTGCTAAGCATCATGCGATGGCCGACATTTATCATCAGGACCCTGAGTTTCAGTTGTTTTGTGAGGGGCTCAAACAGCGGGAGGACAAACTGGAACGTAAGATCGAAGAATTGAGGGAGCGGTATTAGGAGGTCATGAAGACGGTCGTTCATAACAGTGAACTCGAGGCTTCCCTTAAGGTGAAGGATGATGAGCTTGAGTTGAGTAGGGGGTGATGGCTGAAAATGCCGACTTGCAGGCAAAGGTGGTCGGTTTGACCGCTGAGTTGAATGTGAAGGCGGTAGAGGTAGAGGGGCTTAAGGGCGAGCTGAGCGTTGGTACGGATAAGTTGGTGGCAGCCACTTTTGCAATCGCATCTGTGGAGAATGCCCTCCGCGTTTGCAGGTTGGAGCTGGCTGAAGAGAAGGAGGCCTCTAGTCGTAAGAAGCTGGCTGTGTTAAATGGACAAGTGGCCTCGCTGAGGGCGGAGGATGCAAATCGACATTCTCAGCCTTCCACGTCTCGTGCTTCAGCCGATCCGGTCGTGCCCCATCGTTTATATGATTTGTGGGTCCATGTTGAGGCTCGACTTGACGTGTATAAGGCTTTTCACGCCGAGGGAAGGGCTACTAAGGCGGAGCTTCAGGCCGTGCACACCGAAGCTCGTGCAGCTTATAAGGCATGCGGGTACGACTACCTCACACCTGATGGGGATGATATCAACTCTGATGATGCGAACCGTCTTGCTTCGGACTCGTGGTACGAAGATGCTTACCCTACTAGGGACGATGTGTAGTCTTTGTTTGTACTTACTTTTGTTTTGGGGGTTTCGCGGGGGGTATACTTGAGCCCCTTTGTAAAGATAAGTGTAAATAACATTTTGAAGCAATGTAAAATATATTTTGTCGATTTGCTCTTCTTTGCAATGTTTATGATATCCGGGTTAACTATCAAGATATTAAGCTATTAAGTTGATGGCCTTGGCCATAGGGATATTGCTTTGGATTGTCGTCGAAGTAGTGTCCCATTGTAGTTCGAACGATATTGAACTCATGTTCTCATCGATGGCCTTGGCCATTGGGATGTTGCTTCGAACTTTCATCGAAGTAGGATCGCATCGTAGTTTGAATGAGGTCAAACTCATGCTTTTGTCTATGGCCTTGGCCCTCGGGATTTTGCTTCGAACTATCGTCGAAGTAGGATCCCGTCGTAGTTCGAATGAGGTTGAACTCATGCTTTTGTCGATGGCCTTGGACATTGGGATGTTGCTTCGAACTATCGTTGAAGTAGGATCCCGTCGTAGTTCGAATGAGGTCGAACTCATGCTTTTGTCGATGGCCTTGGCCATTGGGATGTTGCTTCTAACTGTCATCAAAGTAGAATCCCGTCATAGTTCGAATGAGGTCGAACTCATGCTTTTGTCGATGGCCTTGGCCATTGGGATGTTGCTTCGAACTATCATCGAAGTAGGATCCTGTCGTAGTTTGAATGAGGTCGAACTCATGCTTTTGTCGATGGCCTTGTCCATTGGGATATTGCTTCAAACTATCGTCGAAATAGGATCCCGTCGTAGTTCGAAATAAGGTCGAACTCATGCTTTTGTCGATGGCTTTGGCCATTGGGATGTTGCTTTGAACAGTTATCGAAGTAGGATCCTGTCGTAGTTCGAATGAGGTCGAACTCATGCTTTTGTCGATGGCCTTGGCCATTTCTTGTTGGAGATTTGATTGTATTCCCGTAGGAAGATATGTCGACTTTATTCATGCAATGGATGTTTGATTATATACTTGTAAGGATCACATGTCGACTCTGCACATACAATGAAGATCTGATTAAATTCTTGTGAGTCACATAACACTGTACATACAATGGAGATGATTATCTACATCCAGTCCCTTCATTACTTCGCTCCGGAGATCATGTCGACAGGTTGGGGTAATGAACAGCACTTCGATCCTCGAGGCGTTTCCCTTGCCGCCTCATAAAAAACCTCCCCGGGAAAACCCGATTGGGACAAAACCCGGGTAAGGGAAAAAGAGTACGACTTAGGTGACGCCTTCTTTTAGAAGTGGAAGTACTTGAGATGGGCGACATTCCAGTTGATTTGGAGTAGTTTTCTCACCATTGTTTCTAACTAGAATGCTC